ATGATTTTTTAATGAACTCGTCAGTAACTCAAACAGCAATATTTAAAACCAAGCACTCCTTCTCTGCATGCTTCATGATGCTTCCTGCTGTATTTTCTTCCCCCCAAACTGGCAAATACTCCTGTCAAGCAGACAGCACCTAGCAAAATCCAGCTGTGGGCTCAAAGCTTTTGCCTTTTTCTGCTTGGTTTTTCATCAGTTTCACCTTTGCCCTCTGGTGAGTTACCCGAGGTCACAATGAGCTGAGCAGTAAAGCCAGAAATAAAATTCAGATTAGCTGGCTCCCAAATTGGTACCTGATCTAAGTGGAGGGAGCAGGTTTACCGCTGACTCTCTGAGAGTCTTAATAAAATGTAGGCTTATAAAGCCTCAGCTTCCTTGGTATTTAAGAGACAATGCAGCATAATAAGACCCACAGGAAAAGGTATTTTTAAAAGGAGGTGGAAAAATACAAGGCGAGCCATCTGGATTTATAATTAACACAGAAAAGAGATTTGAATTCAATTCTGGACTGGGACTCTGTTAAGTTTACAGAGTCGATGATAGCCAAGAAGCAAGCAGCCCACTATCTGATGGCTCAGCAGAGGGCACAGCAAGCTCAGAAGCTGCGGGAAATACTAATGTCTTTGGCATAAAATGCATGTGCTGCTCTCATGAGAAACCACTTGAAAATGAGCAAGACCAATGCTAAAGTCCAAGTTACATGGCTGCACAGTGAGTGTTAATAGAAAGCCACGTCCCTATAGCCTGCACTGCTGAAGAGGGGAAGCCAGGCAATTAAAGTGGAGAGGAAAGGACAGGAACCTTTCATCAGTCACAGCAGAAGCTGGGATGGGGCAAGCCAAGGTCACTAAGGGAAGGGGTGGGGTAGAAAAGGGAGACTGCCTAGACTCCGAGTTCTCCATCCTTCCATCAGAGGGGGTGAGAAGGGAGAAAGTAAAAAGATGTCCAGTGTGACCCTTCCCTAGACAGTCAGGGCTTGACCCCCCTGAACGTATTACTTGCACTTATCCTGAAGACTCATTGTCTCTACTGTCTCCTTATTTCTTTGGTATGTCCAGATCTTCACCCGTTGCCCCAAGGGACATCATATAATTGTCTGTATCACCAAGAATCTCAGGATGCATAGTGTAAAGAGATTTTTTTTTTTAAAAGAAGGGCTACAAATAAGTAACATAGGGTGGCTGGAGAGTGGCTCAGTGGTCAAGAGCTCTTGCTGCTTTCCAGAGGACCCGTGTTCAGTTCCCAGCACCTACATCAGGTTACGTCACCCATTAACTTCAGCTCCAGGGGATTCTGATGCCCTCTTCTGGACTCTGAGGGCACCTGAGTACAAGAGGCATATATTTCAACACAGACATATAAATAAATATCAAAACTTTACTCACACAAACACACACACACACACACACACACACACACACACACTGCTGAAGTTCCCCACCAAAACAATTTTGTCAGACATGGTGGCTGATGTTTCTAGACCAGTTACTCAGAAGCTGAGGCAGGAGGATTTCTTGAGTCCAGTCTGAACAACACAGTGAGACTTTCTTTGCTATCTTTCACAACCATTTTTTCACATTTCTTCTTTTTCTGAAAACATAATTTCACTGAGAAATGTATTATCTCTCACATTAAGCAAAAGTATGTGTGTATATGCACCTGTGTTTGTGCATGTGTATGTTTATATGTATGCACGCATGTGGAGGCCTGCCAGAGGTAGATGTCATGATGTCTTTCTCCATCAGTCTCCATCTTATTCTTTAAGGCAGGGCCTCTCATTGAACCTAGAGCTCACTGGCCAGCAAAAGCAGCTGACTGAGGTCTCCCTGCTTGAACAGCAAGCACATCCCCAACTGAATCATCTCACAGGTCCCATTTGTTTTTATTGTTATTGTGTGTTTTAATGTGTCTGTTTCTCTGTGTATATGTGTTTGTATATGTCTGTATATGTGTATGGGGGGTAGGAGGGTAGTGAACACCGAAGAACAGATGCCCATGGGTACCAGAGGTACTGGATCACCCCTGGAGCTGCAGTTACAGGTGGTTGTAAGCTGCCCAAAGTGAAACAAATTCAGGTCCTCTGAGATGAGTTGTGGGCACCCCTAACTGAGCCATCTCCCCAGGCTCCCAAAAGCATTCTTAATATTAATAAAAAGCAAATTTGGCATGGCGGCATACCCTGTAATTTGATGACTGTGAGTTGGCTAACTTGCCTGGGTACAAAGCTTGAGGCCAGGTGAACTATGCAGTGCGACATTATCTCAAAATAAATAAACAAAATCCCCTTTCTCTGAGGAGAAAAGGAAACGGGAAGAAACATGCTGTAGGGACAGTGGACAATTACATCTCAGGTTACTCTTAGATGATCTCTCCAAGCACTGGAGGTGACTCCACACCCTAGTTGAGCCAGGAAAGAACCTCAGAAGATGGCACGCCTACCACCAACCAAAGGTCAACTGAACTTTTGTCACAATGATGCGTACTACCACTTGAGCATTTAGACAGGAAGAGACACAGTTTTAGGGGTTTGAAAACCCCGGCCATGGCCACAGGTAGGGGTCCATCTTGCTGCTCTGTGTCACAGCTAAGAGTGCTAGTGAGTGGAAGTAGCTGGCACACCCCCAGAACTGACCCTCTGGGTCAGAACCCTTAAGGGAAGGATGATGTGGCCACTAGGCCTGGATCTGTTCATAATTCCTAACACAGCAGAGGACATGACTTCATCCCCAGGTTATTTGATCAACCAATGCTCGCAACAACCTAAACTAAGACCAAGAAACGGCCCTGGAGTAAGACCCATGGGAGATATGGGCAGCAAGCACCTGGCGAGTCCATGAAGTTAGAGGAAAATTCCAGGTAGAACTGAGACCCAGAAATTAGAAGCGCACACAGCACACACAAGCAGTCAAGGCCTGATACAGAAAACTTTAATCAACAATTGTGGAAACAATACACTCAGACATTAAATATCAGAATTCTTCAGCATCACTGCCACCACCACCAGTCTAGAAATAAAATGATCCATTAATCTGAACCATTCCTGGTGGGAGATAAAAGATTTAGGAAAATGTTTTCCATAAACACATTTCTTTTTACCCCATCTAGACTCCACACAGGGTAAAGACAAGTCTGTACTCAATGGGAATTTATTCAGCCAGCTTTGTAGCACAGCTCATCACTATGGAATGGCTTCCCTTACTCTCTCCTCCCAATGGATTCGATGAGCAGAGAAATGATGCTCCACTATACACTTACCAGACAAAACAAGTAAAAGTTTAACATGAGTGAATTCTATGTTATTATAGTTTAAAACATGTATCAAAACCACATCTTTCTTGTAAAGGGGGCTGGCAGTCCAACAACAACAATGCCATGCTTCCTTAGGGCGGCTCTGTGGCATGCCCTGCCTTCCTCATGCAAACCAACGGAGACTGTAGACTGCCTGCCTTCTCAGTCACCTAGACACAGACACACAAGCCTAAAAGAAAACAACCCCAACTACAACAGCCATTCCATTCAAGTATTGAGAGATGTGTGCGTGGGAAACTAGGGGAGACAGCCTGGAAAGAAGAGGGACTTCAATACTTTGCATGAACATAGCTAGAAGAGACTGCTGGATCCTGAACAGTTAATGACTCTAACACTGGTTTTTGGTTTTGGTGAGCAGATAGGCAGCATAGCCAATTTGCTTCCAGGCACTTCTGCAGTGACCACTGTTGGTTTTAAAATGTGTATTCTGTGTCTGTTCTTAAACCGGTGGTGGACCTATACATTGGAGCCAGGAAGCCATTATTGCCACAATGCCCCCAAGTATTGTGCATACAGTTTCCTGTGTGCTGTTTATGTACAACCCATGTACAATTATATAAAGGTTATAAGGGAAATCTGGTAATAGGTGAAGCCAAAAGATTCGCCATCACTCATCCTGTTCCACATAAGTGTTATTTGTAGGTGCTTCCCAATTCAAATAATTGAAGAGAATAATACAGGCCCAGGAACCAGAAGCTAAATTGTGCTCACATTCTCTCAGCCAAAGCCGGATGGGGATAATAGAGACAAGATGCAGTATCGGGAGTTAGGGAAAGGTTGCGGGTGTGGCTTGGGGAGTGATCTTTCCCATGAGGAGTCATGGGAAAAGCAATGCCGGAAGGACAATCAACCCCTAGACAGCAGTGTTCCCGGGTGTCGCCTAACACTGACGGGCAGGAAGCTGTGCCGTCCACTCCATCCTCAGGACAGCACAACAGGTAAGCAGAGAGGCACACAAAGCCATGAGCACAACTCTAAGCGATAGAGCTGCTCAGGAGCTGGGAGCTGTCAGTCACTACTCTAAGAAACCAGAGTTCTTCCCAGCATCCCCATGCTCTCTGGAATCATTCAAAATGGAGGTACCCAGCTACTAAGACATGAGGATCTTAGGGGTACCACGGGACAGCTGTATGTGTGTGTGTGTGGGGGGGAGACAGGGCCTGGAAAACAAAGAGAAAATAAACATCTTGGGGCAGGGACCACAGAGCAATGGGGGCTGAACTGTGACCACTGGCAGCCTTGGCCAGCTCAACCTTGGGAGGTAGGCGAGAATGGTGTGAGCTGCTCTGGGGCTGTAGCCCACCTCCCTACAGCAGTGGGAAGCAGGCTCTGTCTTGGCCTCTCTTTCCTAGCTTGTCTGCCAGCATGGCAGACCATGTCTTTGTTTCTTTCTTCTTAGAGCACCAGGGGCTGGTTGTTCCAGTGTTTTAAAGCCCCCTTCAGAAAACCAACAAAGGGAAATGCTCATTGACAGATGATACTGCCCAAACTCAATTTACAAAGGGACAGTTCTCCTAATTGGGAACACAAAATAACATCATTTGACCTGATCACAAATGTGAACTTTAGAGACCGCCAGACCTTGGTAATGAGACTCAACCTATTTGGTTTTAATCTCTTACTGCTGGGTGTTCAAATGGCAACAGTATTGGTCTTTAACAAAACTGAAACTGACAGAAACAACAACATATAACCAACCTGACAGCCAGTACTTCTTTATATATGGAGCCGCTTCTTTCCTGAATCTGTTTCAAAAGTATCCAATATTTATATTTAGCGGCTAGAAGACAGGGGGCCAAATCCTCCTGCAACGAGAGAGCAAAGCTTTGACCACTGAGCCTGGGAAGTGGGGTCAGTGAAAGTCTATCAGGTACTCGGGGTAGATCTGGTTGGCATCGAACACCACAAAGATCTTTGGGTTCCAGGTGTCATCCACACAGCTGTCATACAAATTCACATAGCTCCCGTCTTTGGAAGGAGGTCTCATGTATTTGGAGTCTCCATTTATGTAATCCCCAATTAGCACTCGAGCAAGAAACATGGATTTATAGGTTCTGAACAGATGTCGCTGCTGCACGCTGACCCCGTGAATCTGGAATGTGTTACCATGTTTGATGTCATCTTTGCAGAAACGACTGGAGTACGCAGCATCTCTAGCGAAATAGGTTCCTTCAACAGAAAGGGCCAAAGTTACTTTGGAGAAAAAAAAAACAAAAACAAAATGCAGGGGACAACATTCTAACTGACAGGAGGACAGACAGGAGTCATACTCCAGGGACAGATGTGGGACCTCCTCCTCTGCACACCTAAACAACAGGACGCAATCCTACCCTCACCCTAGGGAGGCAGCTGTGGATGTACCAGGCCTCACCAGTGCCCTCCTGTGCCCTGAACAAAGTAGCCACCCACACTTGTGTTTCCAAAAGAGAGCTTGCCAGGAAATCCAGTAAACCTAAAACACAAAACCGTTCTGTGGTGAGGCGTGTGGCAGGTTCGGGTGTCACTGGAGGCCGTCCTCCCCAGCTGTGTCCTTCCTCGGCCTCCTCCCTGCAGCCTCACCCAGCATCCAGCATCCAGACAAGCTCTGTAGAATACTGTTCTACCCGAGGAGCTCACACCCAGGAATCTTCTGGCTACGACATAGGGCAATCCAGAAGTAACTCTAGAACTAGGACTTACACTCAGGAATGAGATTCTGAGACTGCACAAAGCTACTGCTGGCCTTGTCTCTTCAGTCTCCCTGGGCCCCATGTGTCACAGGCTTAGTTTTCTGGGAGCTTGGTGCTAATGAGAGGTGTCAGAACTGTAGAGAGGATGTGCCCTTAAAGGGGGATTATGAACCACAGACCTTCTTCCTCACAGTTTTCTTGCTCTGGCTGCCAGTTCACTTTATAAGGCATACTCTGCTGCCATAGTCTGCCTCAAAGCAGGCTCCACAGTGCTCAAGGAGCACAGATTGAAATTTCTGAAACTGCGAGTCAAGAATCTTTCCTCTTTTGAAGCTGCCTTGGGTGTTTTGTTATAGTAAGAGGAAGCTAAGAAGCACATCTATTCCTGCCTGGACATTCCAGAACAATGTCAGTTATTGTCATGAACATTCAAGAAAGCAGTCAACTCTCTGGAAATGACTGACACAATCAATCAAGTAACTAATTCTAAAAAACTGGGACATGAATTGCAAAATCTCATATCTTGATGGAACTGGTGTTGGATTTCTCCAACCTCTTGCAGCTGAAGTGAGCAGCCTTTCCAGTACTTATCCTTAAATGAATGTACTGCTTCAAAAAGCACCTCCTAATCCTAACAGGGAGCCAGCTCTCTTGATGGAAGTGAAGCATGGAGGACGGGACTGACTGACAACAAATGCCTGCCCCTCACCCTCCTCGGCTCTCTCCCTATCTGCTGGAGTCATGCCTCGGAGTGGAAACCTGACTTGCACAGCCTCAGAAATAAGGTAGAGTTTTGCCCACTTTTTCCCTTTAGTGCATGTTGATATTCTTATCTATCATTTCCTAACACACAAAAACAACCAAACAAAACATCAAAACCACTAGTCACTATCCTAGAGTATAATTAACATGTTTCTATCCCTCTGCATTTACTATGGAGCAGTTCACTGTGTCGGCTCATCCATGGAAAGGGTTGACTCAGACATTACAGATACTCAAGGCTTCTCTAACACAGGGCACTGTGTCAGGATGACCAGAACCCAGGAAGCTATTGAATATGGCAGATGTGCAAGTCTCATTTCCATCCTGTCTGAAACTCACAGTCTGGTAACTTTTAGCTTCATCACTCCATCACGGAATCATAAAGCAACCAATTTCCCCTAGAGAGAGGGAACTCTCCCCTGTCACTGAACCTGGACCTGAGATTCAGATATTACCTTTTCCAAAGACAGCCCCATGTACACCATTGATTCTCCAATCAAAGTTGTGAATGCAAATTGCTTCCACAAATTCACTGCTGGTACCGTGAAACAGCATTTGCTCATTGATCTGAGGAACACCTCTCTTTTTCTTGAGCTGAGCCTTTTTCCTAAAATTACAAAACATCCAGATACAAAACCACAGAAAAATATACCAGTGAGTGGTACTTATTAATTTAAAATGCTAAAGGGCAAAGTTCAATGGAAAGGGTGAAACAACAATATAAATCATATAAATAGACAGAACAATTCTAGCAAAGAAATTGTTTCAAATACTCTTGGCTATATAAAAATCATCTCATCAAATATGACAGCTGCCAGCTAGGTGTGGTGCTTAATGCCTGTATTATTCCCAAGGTACAAGAATCAGAGACAGAAGGATTAGGAGTTCAAGGTTATCCTAGGCAAAAAAAAAAAAAGAAGAAGAAGAAGAAGAAGAAGAAGAAGAAGGCTGAAAATTATAACCAAAAAGACTGGGCATATAGTTCAGTGGTTCAGTGGTAGAATGCTTGTCTGGCATGTGGGAAAGCCTGGGTCCCATCCCCAGGACTGTGGAGCAAAGAGGAAAAGAGGAAGGAGGGTGTGGAGGGGGCACTGATGGTCTAAAGCAGATAAGCATCGCAGATGGCCGCAAAGGAGACTATCAACACATAATACAAAGTTCTTACACAGTTAGACACAGAACTCTGTCTTTGAGCTGAGGCCATATTTGATTCTGCATCAGCTGACTGAAATGTGAGGTTTAAGGGGCATCAAGCTCCAATTTAGCATCTTCTCTGGGAACACATCTTCAGTGCATCAGAGATGGAGGACTGGTCATGTTAAAAACAGAAAAAACAAAACCAAAAGCCTAAAAAGCTGTCAGAGGAAAATAGCTACTTAACTATTTTACATATGAAAATTAAAAGTAGGACCCAGGTATAGTAGAAGTTGTTTTCAATTCCAGCACTTGGGAGGCAGAAGGGTGAAGAACTTTGAGTTTGAGGTCAGCTTGGTCTACATAGTGAGTGCCAGGCCAGCCAGGGTTACAGAGTGAGACCCTGTCTCACAAAAACAAAAGTTAAGTGTAGTAAACTAGGTCTAGGTGCACTGTAAATATAAAGATAATGAGCCTAAATAGAATTATAAAAATTAATGTATTTATCATGATAATGTGTATTTATATAGATATACATACTCATGAAGTGAGAACACAAAAGTATAGGCAAGAAAACATCTCCTTTTGAGAAGAGACAAGAATGGGAATAAGGTCTTTGCCTCTATCAGAGATCTGAGATGAAGACAATGAGTCACGTATTGGAATGCCAACTCTGATGATGGAAGTGTGGCACGTGGAAGCTATTTGCTGCATTTTGGGGTTTTGAAATGTTTTACCAAAAAGATATCTAAAGTAATGTACCCCTTATGTCTCTGCTAGCTCACCTGAGCTGTGCCCAAGCCTTTCCTTAAAACCATAATATATGTAAATACAAAAGCACACCCAGAACCAGCAAGTGGCATTTATAATTTTAAAAAGCAAAGTCCAATAGGAAGGCAGAGGCACAGAACTCTTCTGTAACATGAACCACGAATGGAGAGGGAATCAGTTTTCTGAAAAAGCCGGGAGTTGCTTCAATCCATTCCAGTGTGGAGGACTTATGTCTAGTCTAGACCACTCTGTGATCAACACTAACTGCTACAAAGTACATCCATCCCAACGATGAACTAGAATCCAGCTCCACATCTACTGACTGACCTATGACATTCCTCTACACACACACACAACAGTTCTTCTCTTTCATAAAATACCTCCATAGATAACCCCCCCAAAAGCTATGAACAATTCCCCCAGCTTTGTTCTCTAGGAAATACATATTATCCCCCTCCCCCAGCTATTCCTCATGCTTTAGTAATATTTCCAACCCCTTCTCCACAGCAAAACATCTTTACTTAAGCAGAATTTGCTGGATAGCTTAGTTTACAAACAGTGGTGGGAACAGATCCCCAGCCCAGCCATCATCAGACAGTGATGTTGACCAGAGACACTGCACTGGGCTAACAGTGCCATTGACTGGCTCCGTATCATGTGCAGTCAGGTAAAATTCTGAGGATTTTTCAAATCAGATCTCTCCCAGATAATCATATCTGAACAACTGACAGATAAACCTGTTTTAGACTTATTTGAGTTTAAAAAGTAAAAATTAGTTAGCAAAGTAAAATACCCCAAAATATGATAAGTTGACAAATTTTACCACAACAGGAATGAAAATGCATATTTCTCAGGAGTTATTTAGTAGTATTTATCAATTTTAAGTGCATGGGCTTTGATGTAGGGCAACTGTCTTTCCAGCCCACCGCTCATATTAGAAGGGCATGCATCAAATAACTCTCTCATTCACACAATAATAGCGCATTTTCCACTAAGAAATTCTACCTAGTTTCTTTTTTCTAGGACTATATTAACTATCTCTTTGGTTTTGTTGTTGTTGTTTTGTTTTTTAACAATGCACATATACTTCCCTTAACAGCTGATGGAAAACAATGCTTTTAAAAAAAATACACTTATTTGTTTTGGTTCATTTCCAACTTGGCAATGACTTTTGGACTTGAAGTTCACTCAGAATTCAATCTGCCCTTTCTGGTTTTGAATTTTTCCTGTGTGTGACAAGCAAACCTACACTTTCATTTAAGTGCCTAATAATGTTGAGGAAGCAAGCAAGCTTGACATTCATGTCTTTGCAAAAGACTTCTAACCACCCATTATTCATTCTCTTTGTACCATCGCCTGGAACATATTGTTTTGTTCACAAGAAACTTTCTCAATCACTTTAGAGAGGCCGACTTAAATTATCCAAAAGGCTTTCCCATACACTACAATGGTAAACTTATTAATTTAATCTATATCATGGTTACTGTTTTGTTAAAGCAAACACCTAATTAACACATTTACCTCTAAGGTCAAGTTTCATGAGCGGTAATGACTAGATTCCATTCTAAAAAACCAAGATATTTGGGGCTAGAGATGGGCTGAGAGGCTAAAAGCACTTCCTGTTCTTGCAGGGGACTCAGATTCTGGTCCTAGCACCCACCAGATGATTCCTAATCACTTATAACTCCACATCCAAGTGCTCTGATGCCCTCTGGCCTCTAAGAGCTTCTTACACTGTGATGTTCATAAATTCATGCAGATACACACAGACATTTAAAAACATGCTCAGTTGTCATTATGTCCCAGACACAGGTTAAAGTGAACCATGGTTTGGAATGTGCATCTCATAGGTATTATAAACCACAGGGTAAAGAGTCTGGTGTGGAATATTCCTTTACCATATATGGATGTATATTGCTGTGGTTAGCTTAATAAGGAAGCTAACTGGCCAGTAGCTGGACAGGATAAGGTTGGGGTAGAGTCAAACAGAGAATGCTGGAAAGAAGAGGGGCAGAGTCGAAGTAGTTGCCAAGAGACATAGAGGGAGCAAGACATGCTAGAGGACAAGTAAAGCCACAACATGGCAATACATCGATTAATAGAAATGGGTTAATTTAAGTTGTAAGAGCTAGTTAGTAATACGCCTGAGTTGTATCAGCCAAGCATTTATAATTTATATTAAGTCTCTTGGGGTTATTTGGGAGTGGCTTCAGGGACAGAAAAACTCCACCTACAGTCTGGCACTGAGCATCGGTAGGCCATGAAATACTGCACTGCTGGAATGGAGGGAGCACATATACCAGGCAGAGGCAGAGTTAAAGGTTTGCACCCCTACTAACACACCCAGGAAAGGTGGGCTCATGGACCATGCATCTGGTCTTCCAGAAACCTGACAGACTGGATCAGAACACATTCACTTCTCAATCTACATAAAGTACTGTGGCACCCAGCTCTCAAAGATGTCTCAATAACCCCATCCTCTAAGGGTCAAGGCTCCAGAAATGCTAGTCTCTGGCTCACACACTGTCTCAGAGCAGCAGTGTCTCCATGCTCTGGACTGAGGACATTCGCCTAAGTTTGGACCAGTGGTCTTCCACTCCATAGAACCAGGGGTTCTGAGTCAGTGGGTCTGGGTAATGGAACCCTCTACATGTTAAGGAGCCCCAGAGAGAATGGATACACGGCCAGGTCAGGCATCTCTGCTTGATCAAAGCCCACATCCTTATCAGGGCAGGGCCTATCACTGCTCTAATACCCTGGCTACTCTGACTGCTCCAGCCATCTCTACCTTGCAGCTCTCCCAGTGTCTCAAGTCAGTCACATGCAACTGCTCTCAGACTCCCCAGACACTCACACAGCATTTCACCTTCCGCTTAAGCCCCAGTGTGGGGAACCCTGTGGTTCCCGGCTCTCCTGCCCTACTCCCCACAGTGACCACTTAAACCTCTCCTTCTTCTATCCCTTTTATCTACATCTCCACAGTGCCTCACTCTATGTAGGTGACTTCGCTTATGTCGCCATGGGATCGGAAAGGGTTAATGAGTCTGTAGGCTAGCCAGGCTCTCACCTCAACATAAATCTAACTGGACACGTGCCCACCTCTTCTCTGGCACATGGTCACTGAACCTCGTCCCGTCATGCTTCTTTGAGAGTTTAATCAATCAACGGCCCTCTCCCCTGGTCCTGTCTTCTCGCCTCTCCTTTTCTGTAAGTTTCTTCCAATTATGTTAACCATTAAAAATAATAATAATAAAGCATAACAAAAATGCTCTTCTCCCTACACACTTCCTTATTTCCTCTCCACCTCCCAATGCCAACCTTCCTAAAGGAGTTGCGGAACTTTACTTATCCACATGATACAACATCCAACATTGCTTTCACTTTCATCAAAATTTGTTGCAAACCCCAAGGGCATGGCCCGTTTGCATCTTCTCTGGCACCTAGGGATGTGACCTTCAGATTATCCCTCTCGTTCCAGTAGCTTTTGCATGGCCACATTCTACTGGTTTCCTTTATTCTGCTCACCCTCTTGAGTTGGCCCTCTTTTCTTAATGTTTATACAAATACTCTGGTCATTTTATCATTGGTGGTTGCTAGCACCTCCTATCTTCTAGCCTTCATCACTAGTCTAGATCAGTTTCCTGTTACTTCCTCCCATGGTCTCTACACAGACCAAGTCTCATGTCTACCCATATTCCTGTAGTTGAGTAAGACTAAGAAGCCGGGATCTGGGTGTGGCCCTGCCTGTTTCCCTCACTCACCTAGTGTATGTAGAGAGTCATACACCAAGCCCTATGACCTGACATCATCAATACCTCCAAATCGTAGCAAACACCACTTTGGCTGACAGACTGTCTGAAGCGTCTCAGTTTAACTACAGAAACCATTTCCTAAACTGCTCTCCCTGCTTCAAGCTGTGATGCCTTTACATCGGGGCTTCTCAACCTTAGTAGAATGCTGTTTGGGGAGGGAGAGATTGTTGTCGTGTAGGACAGTTAGCACTCCTGACCTCTATCCACCAAATGCCAACAGTCTCTATACCTCACCACAGGACAACCAAAAACGTCTCATCACCAGATGTCTCTGGTAGGAAAAGTCTTTAAAGTTTTTCCTATAGTACTGCCTGATGAATTATCATGCTAAACCCTCCCTCACCCTAAGAACAAACACCTAAAAGAACAAACAATACAAATATGACCAGTTTGGTTTTAAAAGTGCTGCATGGGAGGCACTTGCTAACTTTAATTTATGGCTTGGACAATTTGACTCAGAGCTATGAGGGAAGGTGCACAGTCAGCCAGAGGCAGTGTTAGCGCCTACGTACTCACTTCCTGGCTAGGTTTCTAGTGCTACTCACCTATGTTCTTTTATTTGAAAGTCTCTGAATTTTCTGTGTTCCAATTTTTAGATAAATTTGATGCATGATGCCCCCATGTCGAAGATGCCCTCCTCTCCCCAGGCCATGTGTGATGTAAATAACACCAGTTTTAGGAAGTTCTCCCCAGTACCCCCATGTCACTATATACACCTTGCTTTAGGGCAATGGTGTGTTTCCATGATAAACCTGTGTTCACCCATGTATCTAACGTTAGCAGTGGCATGGCTCCTTGACCTACAGAACTATACACCATCAAATCCCAAGTAACTAGAATACTGCCTGTCACAAAGTGGGAGCTAAGATTACTTGCTGGGAAGAGGAAGGAGGGAAGTAAAACAGGAATGTATATTATGTAGCAGAGTGGACTCATTCAGAGCCTGGCTATTCAGATGATGAGTCACAGCTTACATGTCAATGAGACCAGTGAGACTATTTTAGATCTGCAGGGAGATGTCAAAGTGACAGCTGCCTATACCACAGCCTCAGATTTGGCAGGTGTTTGTGGGTTGACATTACAGAAGATCACAAAGAATATAAACCAAGAAAATTTTCTAGTAAATTCTTAGTATAAAATGCTACAAGACACTGGGTGGTGGTGGCACACGCCTTTGATCCCAGCACTTGGGAGGCAGAGGCAGGCGAATCTCTGTGAGTCCGGGGCCAGCCTGATCTACAGGTACACACAGAGGACCCCCCCCAAAAGAAAGCTACAGGACTCAGCACTATGTTTTTATGCTTTTATTGAGAGCTCTGAAGTGCAAAGGAGACCAATAGAGCTCCAGTTAAGAGGTGTAATTAACAACAACAGGGCTGTAGAGATGGCTGGGCAGTCAAGAGCACTTGTTCTTGCAGAGGACCTGGTTCAGGCCCCTGAACCCACATGGCGGCTCACAGCCACCTATAACCCCAGTTCCAGGGGGCCTGACTCCCTCTTCTGACATCCATGAGCCCCAGGCACACATACAGGGTACATATATACATGCAGGCAAAACTCATACCCATAAAATAAACAAATCTAATATTTTAAAGAATAAATGTCACCAACTCACTTTACAAAAACTAATTTAATCATTGAAAGAATAAAATCATAGGGAACAGAGACCTCCAACTTCCCCCAAACAAACTGAATAAAAACCTTCAGGTAAACTCAGCGACTGTCAGAAATATAAGGTTTTTGGTCAAATACTCCAGACTATAAAAAAGAACAAGCTGAAAGCCCACTGTTACTATAATTTCTTACAAGGACATATGGAACAAACTGAGGCCTAGAGAGTTGGAACCACGGAAGCATTTCATATACCATTACTGTGATGGTTAGCTTTGACTGTGGACTTCCCACCTGGGGATGCAGCATCATTGAGGAACGGTTTAGATTAGGTTGATCTGTGGGCATGCCCTTGAGGGATTTTCTTGATTAGGTTAACTGGAATGGCCCACTGTGGACAAAACCATTCCCTAGGCAGTTGAGTTTGGCTAAGAGTGCAGAAAGCAAGCTGAGCACTAGCAACATGTATTAATCCAAATCAACTCTTTCTTCCTAGAGTTATTTTATTTATTTTTATTTCATGTGCATTGGTGTTTTGCCTGCATGTATGTCTGTATGAGCGTGTCAGATCCCCTGGAACTGGGTGCTGTCATGTGGGTGCTGGGAATTGAACCTCAGCCCTCTGGGAAAACAGCCAATGCTCTTAACTGCTGAGCCATCTCCTTGGCCCCATTCCTTAAGTTGTTTTGGTCAGGATATTTTACCACAGCAACAGGAAACAAAACTGTAATAATCATCAATTTTCAAACATGCAAAAGAAATGGGGGACAGGGTAGGAATTGCTTTAGATACTTCCCAATAATAAAACAACCTATTACATGTATTTAATCTTAGTTCATTTTTTTTTTTTTTTTTTTTTTTTTTTTTTGGCAAATGTTTATTTGATTGCTTTTCTGAAACAGGGTCTCACCATTTAGTAGTACAAGCTGGCCTCAAACTTGGTCTGTAGCCCTTGAATCAGTCCTCCTACCTTAGCCTTCTGTGTTCTGGGCTAGCGGCTGTATGCCTCCTCATCTGGCTTGTGTAGCAAAACTTGACAGATGTTGGACAGGATCACAAGTGCACTGAGCTTATTATGGTTGAATTCTACTTCTGTATTGATTTGAAATTCTGAATAAATCATTAAAAGCTTATAATAAAAATACCAGAAATCAAATCTCATCTACAAATGTTTATTTAAAATATTTCAGAGAACCACTTATTTAAGTATTATTTATTACAAAAATATAACATAACAGGTTAATTTGGGTAACACATTAAGTTTTAGATAATGAGCTTTATTTTTAGGTTAAAGGCACACTGAGAAATCTAACAGTCATTTCTAACTTAGAATTAGTAATGAGTAGAGATTTTTAAATCCACAGTATAAACTCCAAGTGAAGCAAGACATTTAAAGGTAAATCGTAAAGTGTTCTTTCAAACAAAACAAGCAAAAAGCTACAAGAAGGATGGCGTTAATTGTTGTTTGTTTTTTAAGTCACAGTTCCAGAGATTTCTAACACAATCTAAAGGGCTAAGGCAAGCAGCCATGGCAAAGTTAAAGAGCTCCATTTCAACATAGTTGCAGTTTTAGACCTAGTGACGGTAGAGTTTCCTCTCACTGTGCTGACTGAATGTATTCCAGAGAAGACTCTGTCTACTCTCCGAGGATGGAGACAAGGCCTAAGGGGCCAGCAAGGTTCTGGAAAGATAGCTCAGTAGTTAAGAGCACTTAATGCTTTGCAGGAGCCACATGGTTGCTCACAACTACCTGTAAGTCCAGTACCAGGGGGCAGAATGCCCTCTCTAACCTCCTCAGGGACCGTGCATACACATAAAAGAAAATAAATGTTAAAAAAAAAAGAAGGCATGGCAAGAGAAAAACAGAAAAGCAGCTTGTCTGTGGCCATCCCTACAATTTGGAAGAGAGAGACAAGTAGAACAGAGGGGCAAGAAATCCACTTACCTGCAAAAGAACTCCCATAAGTCTAAGTTTTGAATCCTCTGAATCCTTTTAATTCGGTTCCGATCCATCGTTTTCCCAAAGAGACTGGCAACTTCATTATACTCATGTGTCTGGTTCTGCAGGGAGACCAGCTGGGAAAAGAAGGTCACAGAGTTTAGCAGTGGCTTTCCTACCTACTGTCCCAGGACAGCCTGTCCTACAGTCCATCTGCTCTTACCTGGTAGGGAACTTCGGTATTCACGTTCTCCCAGTGTGTTGGCATGGGGATGGCCTCATTTTCACAGATGTAACTTCAAACAGCAAAAGACAGCAGAGTATCAGAAGCAGATTATAATTAGTGTCAGTGGTTTAGTCTTTCCTCCACAGTTGAGTTTTCTGTTTACAAGGTATTTATGACAAATACAATGAAGTATGACTCTTCGCTTCACTTAGAAATATTTACCGAATGTCTACTTTCCTAATTATTCAATGCTGAATTATAAACTTCGCTAGGAATATACAAATCTAGATAGCTTCAACACTTCAAAATCAGCTAATTCAATTTTTTGTTCCAATTTTTATAAAATGTGAAGAATTTTTTAGCCAGAGAAAAGGTATTCCCAAGAAAACTAAGGCTGATTTTTTTAAAAAACCCAAACCATTTATTGATATTTGTACTGAATGAAATTGAAAGTTCTACCAGCCACTGCTGTCCTCCAATGACTCAGCCCTCCCTTCTCTGTCCTCTATGGCCTGACTCAGTCCTACTTCCTTAGGCAGAGCACCCTGACTTGCTCAGTGCAGTTACTCAGCAGCAAATCTTTAAAAGCCATATAATATGGTCAAGACACAGGACACAAACACAGAGACAATGGCAATGGAGATTCAACAGCAAAATGTTAAAACAGGCACACTAACCTTCCTTGGAAATTAAAAGTTAGTGGATGAAATTAACAGACTTCAAACTTATTCTTAGCTCGCTTTTGTCAAACTTAATAAAATTTGGGGGGAAAATATATTTTAACATTTTTACTTGTATGTGTATGTATCTGTGTACAAGTGTGCTGCATGTGTGCAGTGGCTTCAGAAGCCATCAAAGGGCATTCAATCCCCCAAAGTTAGAGTCACAGTCAGTTATGAGCTGCCTGTACGGGTTCTAGAAACCTCTCAGGAAGGTCTTCGATGTCCCAACATGTAGAGAGTGAGAACCTTTTCTCCTGCTCTAGTCAGTGTTCATTCCTTCTTCGCCAGTTGTTTCTAGACCCAGATGTCCTTTAGAGCCTCCTTAGGTTCAGACAGCCAGGTTTTACTCAATACAAATGGTGGCACAAAGCACTCATTAGTCCTTAGGTTGTTTTGTTCATTTAATCAATTCTTACCATGATCTTTATCAACATGTATGCAATCTCCTCATTCCCAGGAAGGGAATCCCAGCACATGGCAGACACTTAGTTAACACTCAATGAATAAACACTTTCTCTCCACCACCATCTGTGCATGTCAGAGCAAGCAAAAACTAACGTGTAGCCTGGGCACCGGGAATGGGGAGCTGAAGTGCGTCCACTGTGGAGCATCTTCCTTAGGTCTCCTTTGTCGCTGGGGGCTTGATGTGTCATCAGGGATTGCCGAGTGGGGTTTGCTCTGGTGCAGGAACAAAGTGGGTGGTTCCTTAGGATTTGGGGCCCAAATAACAGAAGAGCTCGGAGACAGAACCATAATTTATTTAACCGCTTACTTCTGATGAGACTTATCTTGCTTCAATTTCAGAATGCTGCACAGAACAGATCTATTTGTTGTTTCATATGCCCAGTAATTTATTACAGAATGGCATCTCTGAAGTGGGATTTCAGAGTCAAAGGATGCACTTATTGATAGCTGTGATGAATAAGGTCCAAATGGAGGCCTGAAACATTGTACTTCTTAATCTTCCCTCCAGAAATGTGGAGGGTACTGCCTTCCAGCAGCCTCTCCAAAAAGGCACGTTCTTCCACTTGTGAATTTCAGTCAGTCTGCTAACAAAGGAATCTGCATAAATTCCCTTTTTTCTTCATCATGAGTATGACTGTAGGAACATTCAAATTGTCTTAAGAGAGTTCTACAAGAACTTCAGATACTATAGGAATTATGATTTAAATTAACCTCAAAATCAAGCTGTTGTTTTTTGAAAGCTCTCCATTCCCCGCCCCTACCCCATGTTGTCTAATGCATCTTTCAGCTACGGGGAAAAGGTTTAAATAACCTGTATGTTCCCAAGGCCTTGAAAGAACGCAGATTCACCGGGCTTGTGATGAGTGCCCCGTGCAGTACTGCAGCGAACCTTTCTGCATCGGCATCTTGTGACCTTCATCCCTTAGCTTCACACTAAACGCCTCCCTTTCATTACTGCCTCACTTTGCTGTCCTCTGTTGTCTACTTCCTATGCCCCTTCTGTCTGTTGTACAGTATGTATAGCCTGGGGCGGAGGAAAATGCTTGAGCGCAGCACGGAATTCTCACCCCACTTCAAAGGGTTACCAGCTATACCAACACACAACTGTGAAACACTCCAGTATTGTGTCTCACTCCCCCAGATTACACTCTTAGAAGGTAAGGAACTCCTGTGTTCTATTGCTGGCACTGAGGAACACATACATGATGTAGCTAGCGGGTAAGAACATACTCTCTCTGTCCCAAAGATGCAGGAAAGCCTTCATTATCTTTTAAATTAGGATGTTAAAATAGAAGCCCAACATTCTGAAAAAGAAAACTGAAAGTATTTCTTTCCTTGCTCCTTGCTAGTCCCTTCAATTCCTTTCTCTGCTCTACTTTATCAAGTGCTCCTTGGGAAGAGTGTGAGAGCATTCCTTACAATTCCCAATTCACACACTACTGTTTTGTTTCCCAGCTCTATCTTAAGTTCTCTGAACAGAAAAAATTCAACATTCACTTAAGTAATTATTCTACACTCTTAATTTTTTTTTTTTTTTTTTCTTTTTTTTTTTTTTTTAACTTTTTTTTTTCTATTCCCCTGTGCAACAAATATTTGCCTCTGGCATTAAACAACTTTTTTTTAGTCTATATATGGCAAAGGGAACCAAAAAGAAAACATGCAACCTGTATTCAGGGAAGACGCACTGCTGCCCATTGCAGAGCTTCATCCCCAGCCTCAGTAGATGTGGACTGGCATTATATGTATCTACAAGTTTCCCGATGGGATCTACATCAGTGCAGAGGCAGCAAAGCAAGCAGTTCCCTAGGACTTATGGTCAAATACCCGGAGGTTTTTGTGAGAGTATGTCCAGTTCAAATTCAAACTTAAGCTCAATAGCTATTAAAAGGGTTCTAAACAAAAAACACATAACATTCTGCAGTTATGCACACTGGTCTAAGAATTGAAAAAAAAATATACATGTGGCAAAAGAAGAGGATGAAAGGAAACAATGGCGGGGGACAATGGTTATTTTATCAGCAAATGAGAGGTTTAACATTGCGAAAGTCACTCGGTCCATGAGATGAACGTGAGTCTACCTGGTCTTCTGCCAAAGAGTCAGAAAGAGCAGGGAGGGAGAGACCCGCCCCTTGTGCTCCCCCACTTACAATACCTGAAGGCACTGATGGAGAAAGGAGCCCTTTTTATTAGGCGCTGTTTTCCAGTGACGAGGTTCATCTGCTTCATCTCTGAACACAAAGACAGACATATCAGATGAGCCACAGAAACACACCGTGCTCTCAAGTGTCATGCAAATTGGTAGCCACAATACATGGCGGCCACCTGGCTTTGGGAGGGGTTGGCAGCTGAGCAGTTCTGATCTTTCACCATCCGTTTACCATGTTCTAAAGGTGTCAGTTCAGGGCGCCCCGTTTCAGTGTCCCACCTAAGGCTCACACCAAGACGCTCATCTCACACCCTGCTCCTCATGCAGGATGTGGGTTCCTGTGCATGGCGCCTCAGTTAAACTAATTACTAAATACAAGAATCCTAAAGGCGAGAAAGTCAAGAGCATAGAACGACATCACACTAAATCTTCCATTGGATTTGTTACATGGAGAAATGCACTCTGGTTTCCCTAAGAATTTGGAAATTAGAAAGTGATACATTTCCATATAACATTTATACAGCCCCCACAATTTCAAAAATGTGCGTTCCTTTACTCCTCTTTAATCTGTACACCTAAACCAAAGAAAAGCTGGCCAGAGACAACACATATTCACACAAAGGTCCCAGTGACAGAAGGCCACTATCTGGTTAGCATCTTCTGCCTGCACAGAGGTCTTGGCAGTATTTAACAGGTCACATTTATCCTCCCAGTCAAGCAGTAACTCTTAATAAGTGCCACTGCATCTGTCAAGTGTGTGCTCTGCCACACCTGTATTCTCCTAGACAGAGCAAACCAGGGCATTGCCACCATCCAAGGAAAAGTAAGATGACCTCAGGATACAGCACAAAACCCATGGAGTCATCTTCACAGCTGTCTCCTTTTGAGTTTACTTTCTACATCTTTGACAGAGAGAAGCAGGGCAGTGACAGGGTGACTGGGGTTAAGGAGCCTCCAAACAGTATACGGAAATGCTTTAGATGTACCTTAACCAGCACCATGTAATCATTTATTGCCACATGCTCCTAGCACACTTTAGTAAAGATCTTTTCTTCTTTTTCTTTGCTTTTTTTTTTTTTTTTTTTTTTTTGATACAGGGTCTCATGTAGGCAAGAATGGCCTGAATACATTATGTAGCTGAGACTGGCCTTGAATGTGTGGCCCTCCTGTCTTCACATCCTGGGTGTTGGGATTACAGGCATACACCACCACACCTGGTTTATGCTGTGCTAGAGTTTCCTGCATACTAGGTAAGCACTCTACCATGAGAAGTACATTCTGAGCATCTACAAAAACATTTTGGATTATTCTTTTTTCCTTACAGGAATCTTCCAGAGAGTATAGTTCCCTAGTGAATATTCTTAGTCAGAAGTGACCTGTTGAATTACCTACCACATACTTCAACAAATGGCATCCCCTTTACAAAGTCTAATGTCTGTGTCTGTTCTGCCTCCAAACTGTGAATGTAAACAACCCTAGCACAGAACACCAGGAACATCTGCCAAACACCCTCTGCTGGAACAGAACACCAAGATCAGCATCCCTTATGAGAAGCCTGCTTGCCCAACGCTATCTTTTAAAGTCAGGATTAATTGGAAGTAAAATTAGTTTTCACATTTAACTTATTCATCTGTTCTTTGACTCCTTCTTGATAATCAGCAACTACAAGAAAATCAAGTTTGATAGGATGGTATTTCTTAGCTACGTCTATACTGTCTGTGACAAACCCTTTACCACTCCTGGGAAAGCATTTCAGACTTACACTCCTTCCTAAGCACACCAGCACCACCATGGTCAGAAAGACACAACTCAGCAACTGGAGAGCAGCTAGCATACCAAAGTGCAGAGTGACAAAATGAGTGGTTACTAAGAAGCTGTTCCCTTCAAATCTCCTTGCCTCAAAGCCATAAACAGTGGGTGAAGGCAGGCTGAAATTTATGAATCCAACCTTGTTTCATGACACACCTGATAACATGAGCCCACCCACATGGTGAGTGAAATCCAAAGAGGTATGGGTCTAAATGAAGCTGATCTGCACATGAGCTGGGCTCATCTATGAAGAAGCCGGTGAAATGAGGAAACATCAGAAGCAGCATCTATTGACAAGGCAGCTATCTAAGCAAACTACCAGCAGGAAGGACACCTGGCTTCACTTTGGTCTTGAAACAAGCACCAGGTTCCAGTGACTGTCTCATTTAATCTAAGTTTGATGGTTAGGATAGAAAGGTTCCCAATTCCAAGCTTTGTCCAAGGATGGGGTGCTGAGTGAAATAAGCACTGTAAATTAGGCGCAGCAGTACAGGCCTGCAATCCCAGCTGCTCCGGAGGCCAAGGCAGGAGAATTGTAAGTTCAAGACCAGCCCAGTAACACAGGGAGACCTCATTTCAAAACTCAAAACACGAAACAAGAGCTATAAAGAGCTTTACATGAACTCAAAACACACAGCCAACACCACGCATGTTAACACACATGAACACAGAAACATGCTTTATAAACGGCAGTGCTGCTCTAGAGTCTTGTAACAGTTCAGTTTTACAGAGCGATCTGTCATAGAACAGGAGGGTTTACTTCATGCTTCAAGACATCGTGGCTAATCCTGAGCTGTAGACTGCACTGCACTGATAATCTAGGAATATTCTAAAAACACACAACTAGGAAGGGAAACATACCTGCAAAGTCTATCTTGTAGCTGAATTTGGAAGTAGTAAAGGAAATGGAGCCACAAGGGTTTGTTTTGAAGCTTTTTTCGATATCTTCACTGCTAACTGAACATTGAATGTTGGTATCCGGCTTTAAGAAAACCAGAAAATTGCATTTACCAGCTGTTCACAGTAAGCATAATCGGTTGGCCACAGAAGTGGAGCTGAGGTCAAAGTGACAGAGAGCGGAGGGCTGAAGGATGCCTATTGCCTCCTGTCTACCTCCCCCACACACAGAGAGCACAACCAAGCCTGCATGTGGAAAAGGACTAATGGCGTCTAGGGGAAACCAGCTGCTGCTAAGACATGATGGTCCCTGCCACAGCCGTCTACATATTATCACAATTTTCACAAATTAGCGAATGATTACACTGAGTGGCTCAGAGAAAACCTTTCCCCAGCCTGGGAACCATACAATGGGAGCAAAAGAAAATCCCCAAACTACAAGTTCTTGTGTGGGGGTTCAAACCTCAACTAAACTCTCTCTACAATTTGAACCAAGCAAGTGAACGTTCCTGAGTTCCCCGTCCTTTGACAGAAGATGGAGCAGTGCCATCTACTTCAGAGCTGTTGTGAGGACACACAGTACACATACAGCACCTAACATGACACCCAGGAGAGCTGTTCCCTCCCCATTTCCACCACCTCAAACCTGGCCGTGCTTTTATGTGCCAGAGTACATCATCCTTGCATGCTCTCTGACAAAGCTCACCATTGCTTCTAAGAGGTTATTGTGAGGGGAGGAAACAGACTCCTAGCTACTCTGGTTTCCATCAGGACTGGGTCTTTCCAGTGCTCCATGAGCATGACTCTGCACCAGCAAGCCCTTGCCTATGCGGCTCGGGGTAGGGTACCTGAAACATGTGCCACTTCCCACATTCCGCCAGGTAGAACCAGCCCCACTGAGTGTCCGATGTGTCCATGTCATCCACATCACTCTCCATCTTCTTGGGAAAGAACTCTTCTGTCTTGTGAAACATCTTCTGGAAAGCCAGTGAGAGGTGCAGGAGGAAATACCCATTAATGACCAGTGAGCTTTCTATGGAACACTCTACTTCATTTCCAAGAACCAGATCCCAATGTCTTTCCCACAGTGACATCTGATAGCTATCTGTAGACCGGCTCTGAAGAGAAGCAACCTAAAATGTTAGTGCTGTTTAACACATCAGGCTGATGACCCTCCTCAGGTGGGCTATGTCAAAGCCCATACAGCTCCAGGAAGTAATTCATCATTCACTTATGAATTTGTCCCTACATCCCAAATACTTAAGACCAGATGCATCTGTTTTCCTATTTCAAACAGTCATCTTATTTAATAGCGTCATGAGACATTTCTAAAATATGAGCTGAGGCATAAAAATGGCTTTAAAGAATAATAAAGTTTTAGTTAAAATATATCAGTATGTGCTTTCATAAACACAAGGATATATGCATGAGTATGTACATGCACACATGTACACAAGAAAGAGGTTTGAATAGATGTGATAACCTGTCATAGTGTCTTCTAAGCACCAAGATGTTGGGAGAGTAATGACAGCAGTGACATCAATCTCTAACCTTATATGGCTCACACTATGTGTCAAGTGCTGGTCTAAGAACTGTAGAAACAACGTGTTTAGGCTTAACAACAACCTATATGAGACAGGTACTGCTGGTATAAATTAGCAAACTTAAGCAAAGGGGCACACAATGGAGAAGCTAAGTTCAGGCCAACTGCAGAGTATATACATGTAGGCACATGTTACACTGTTTTATGTTTCATGACCAATAGGTCTTATAATGTTGACTAGAGCATTAACTCATGTGTACCTGATCTTTGAAAAAAAAAATTGACATTGGGTGGAAATTGTGATGAAGTCACCAGAAAATGTACCAAGCGGCTGATCAAAATGATTTACTTCATTGGAATTTGACTTCCTATTATCATTCTCTAAAGGTTTTTTAAATTACTGATTTAAATTTGCACAACTGGTCTAGTCTATGGCCATACCACCATGAACATGTCTATCTTCAAAGCTGAGAAGGGTCAGCCTAGTTAGCACTTGGACTAGCTACATCCCAGGCTACAACAGACAAGCTCTGTAGCTTCTTACAAAAGGATGTAGAAAAAACAAAACAAAGCACTTTCTGGGCATAGAAGCGCATGCCTTTAGTCCTCGCACTCAGGAAGCAGAAGCAGGAGGAACTCTGTGAATTCAAGGCCAGCCTGGTCTACACAGTGAGTTCCAGGACAACCATGGCTATAGCGAGACCCTGTTTCAAAAACACCAAAATAAATAAATAAATAATTTTGTGCAATTAGCATATGACTTGAAAAAAAGTCAGAGTACTCATGCTGAAGGCTTGTCTGTATCTTACACTTTCAAACTTGGCATTCTCTTACCTTCCTTTTCCAGAATTAACCAATGCCATCACTTTACAATGTATCTCTCAGGGTGTGTGTGTGTGTGTGTGTGTGTGTGTGTGTGTTGTGTGTGTGTTATGTAGAATCTTGTATATACACACCTACACTGGTGACATGAAAAAAATATGATCTCTATACCTCTGACTGTTTTTAACAATGAATCTGTGTTTCCCAATAAGCTGAAAAATATTTTTATGCCACTATATAAAATGTAGAAGCTGTGTAACCCAGGATAAGTTTCCAATATTTTGTCTTGGTCACATTCCCCCACACAGAGCGGAAACTAAAGTTCCTTCCTTGCTGGGGGGTTAGGATGAGTACCTGAGCTCTGTTAATGAATTAGTTCATCTTATTTTTTCAGTCGTGCCCAGCAACTTTCCAAAGAATACTTTTCTGATTATGTCTTTATTTTTACTCCTTCATGTTTTACAAGTTGATTAGCTGCTGAGAAAACAAAACAAAAGCCTAGGATCAGGGCTCCAGGTTAGAATGCACTATTTACCTTCTATGTCTTGACTGGATAATAAAGACGATGAATTAAAATATAATATCAACTGTGCTGTTAACTACTCCACACATCTGCTCTCCTCTTCCAGCACTCTTCACACCATTTGGCCATTTCACTGTGAGAGAGCAAGAAAGAAAGCCAGGGGGATCCAGGGTTAGTTTTTGTTTGGGAAATACCCTGAAAAACTGAAAAGGCGAGCTTGAAGCAAATGCCTAAGGTAATACTGGGCTCGGGCTCGGTATTTTCTCTATTAGAAAGGGACAAGACAACAGCAAGTTTCCCTCCTATGACCACAGCACGGTGTGTGCTCTGCCCTTTGACTTTGTGCCCAAGCTGTCACTGCAGGCCAGTCTACAAGCCAGGCATCACAGCCCATGTCCCAGCCACTGAGGCTGAGGCAGGAACGTCATTTGAGTCCAGGATTTCAAGGCTAACCTGAGAAACACAATGAGACCTGAGGGAGGAAGGGAGGAAGGAGAGAAGAATAAAGAAGATGGGGGGGAGCAGGAAGGGAGAGAGGAAGGACAAGGAGGGAGGGAGGAAAGGAGGGAGGGAAGAAAAGAGGGAGGGAGGGAGGGAAAAAAGGAGGGAGGGAGAGAGACAGGGAGGGAGGGAGGGAGGGAGGGAGGGAGGGAGAGAGGGACAGAGGGTAACTCCCTGCCATAAATAGCTTTGACTAAGCTTTGAGCAGCTAGGCCAATTCTTGGTCACAATTTACATTATTTTTTCCTCCATAGCCTCATGCACAGGAGAGAAAAGTCATTACTTTCCAATTAAAGTCAGAGGAAATACAAAGCAGAAAATGATATGATTATTTTGTCTAGAATCACAGTGTACAGTACAGAGAAGATTAAAGAGGCCCTTGGGGCCTTCTGGGGTCCCATCTCCCTCCAGGTGCCCACTCCTCCGCCTCATTTCCAGTGAGTAGTCCTCATCTCCTTTACTGCCAAGCTTCACAGATACACTGGCTTTCTTTCCAGTGTATTCCAGACCACAGAATCCACAACATCTTCTATAGTGTGTTTCCTCTCAAAAGGAATGGCTACTTGGTATCATTTGGCTCAAAGAAGAAATTGACTTCAATAAAATAATTGAGTATGCTATCACTATAGACTAGTTAGGACACATCTACAGGTAATCAAATGAACATTTGCAAGTTATCCTACACAGAGAAGGCACTTAATGCCTGTTAGATGGATGGGATGGTTCTTTCTAACTGGGAGGAAAATGACACTTCCTGTGCAGGAGGCTGCAAAGGAGAAGTAGCCAGCATCAAGGACAAAGCACCCTTCTAGTTTTCAAATGTGCACACTGGCAGAGCCAGTCTCCAAGGCAAACCACATTAACGAAGGCCAGTAGTCACAGCCCCTGGGCACATGCCATCCGGGCATATTTCCACATGCAAATAAAAGTAAAAAGGAAGCTGAGTTCAAATCAAATCCTGGTCCACATTCCAGAACACAAGTGCTGCATTCTGGGCTTATCATTTCTAGTGAGCGTTACTACAAAGCATAAGTTACTTTATTAGCATAAACATTAGCTTACTTGAGGAAATTATACTTGGAAATGAAGACATCTTTGCCTCTACAAAGAAGAATTAGCACTGAGTCTCATGGCACACCTGAATTCCCAGCACTTGTGGGGCTGAGGCAGGAAAAGGCAAGTTCAAGGCAAGCATGGGTATGTTAGGAGACACAGTTTCAAATCATATACGTGTGCATGTACATACACAAAGTAACATTTTGTTTATTTATTGCATTTGTGTGGACATGCATGTGCCACAGCACATAGCCGTCATGGCACATGGTGGAGGTCATCAGACAGACAACTTATGGAAGTCAGGTCTCTGCTTTCCCCATGTGAGTCCCAGGGATGGAACTCAGGTCATCAAGGGTGTGTGTGTGTGTGTGTGTGTGTGTGTGTGTGTGTGTGTGTGTGTGTGCGCGTGCGCGCGCATGCATTTCCAAACCCTACTACTAAAAGCTGGTAAAGTGTGGATCTTCCAGAATAACAGAATAAGGAATGCTGGAGATTGGTTGTTTCAACTAGTAAAGCTATTTTCAAATCATTTAACTCTGGAGAGTGTGCTCAGGAGGGTTCTGCAAAAGACGGAATACACACAAGAGACTGACCATCATCCCTCCTGCTGGCTCTTCTGTGCAAGCCAAAGATGGGGCCCCACACCTCTTGGCTGAGGAAGGGCAGGCTGCTGATACTCCTCATCCCCTCAGCCCATGAGGCGAAGCTCTGTTCCAGACAAGCAACAAGACAAAGTCTGTTCCCTACCTGGAGACTCCTATTTAAACAGAGCAGCCTGAGATGCTGGGTCCTGACCGCCACCAGCCCAAATTGCTCCCGGGGAGAAGTTTCATGCCGAGAGGACAGAGGCAGGAAAGCGATGGGCTGCTAACCCCTCACCTAGTGTCCTCCCAAGGAGTAGAATGTCACTTTGGGAAAAGAGGGCTTCCACCCTGAGCTGCAGGTACAGTGAGTGACACAAGGACTCTGCCCAAGGGCAGACAGACATGAGGAATGAAGTCCACATCGCTGCCTGAGGGAGCAGCTCTATCTGGAAAAGAGAGCTGAGGACCCTGAGACTAAGGTCATTCTGAGAAACAGTGGGCAGCTCCATGAACACCAAGGAAAGCAAGGTGTGGACGAACGCGGAATGGCGGAGGTGGCAGTTCACACCGAGGAGTCAGCAGGGAAGAGCCCTCCCTCCGGGTCAGTCACTGCTGCACATAAAGGGCTGGCAGCAGCTCCAGACTTGTACCCATATAGGAACAGACAGAGAAGACACTGGACAGCCCTAAAAATGCTCCTACAAGGCAGATACGCCCATCAACACAGGGAAGAAACACGAGCAGGCAAAGGGCTTCAACATCACTGCCGATAAACAAAGGAAGCTACTCTCATTCATGGGCAAAAGCCGTGAAGCGAGGGTTGATTTTTATTTTTAAATTATGTATTTAGTGTGTGCACATGTATGCATTTGTGTGCCCTGCACATGTGTGCCATGGCTCATGTGCTCATGGCTCACAGGACAACTTTCGAGAGTCACTTCTCTCCTTCCACCATGTGGACCCCAAGGGTCAAACTTAGGTTGTCAAGCTTGGCAGCAAGAATCTTTATCCACTGAGCCATCCTACGGACCCCAAGAACTGATTTTATAAGTTAGCTTACAAGGAAGGGGTTTCATTACGCCATTTCTATAATTAAATATACAGTTCAGTCACCCTCAGTAGTGTAAAAGACAATAAACTCATAATTAGGTCCTCTTGGGAGTGATCCAAAAGGAAAACCTCTGCCGGGTGGCAGTGGCACACTCCTGTAATCCTTGGGAGGCAGGGGCAGGCAGATCTCTGTGTGTTCGAGGTCAGCCTAGTTTACAAAGTAAGTTCTAGGACAGCCAAAAGCAGCACAAAGAAACCCTGCCTTGAAAAACCAAGAAAAGAAAAAAGAAAGGAAAACCTATTTCTGGATAAATATTAATTAAGTACTCCCCCTGCAAAAAAAAAAAAAAAAACCTAAAACCTCATTCAACCACAACAGCACCCTCTGGAGAGTTAAAGCCTGACTACCTAGGGGACTCAGCACAACCTTCAACCCGAACTTGTCAACCTTAGAAGTACTGCCTGAGCAGTTAGGATAAGTTCAGCCAAATACCCAAACCACACAGTGATGGAGCCCAAACCACAGAGCCACCAGAAGAGGTCAGAATTAATACAATAAAATAACCAGTTTCAGAGACAGACATGGTGTTACTTGCCCATGATCCCATTACTTAGGTTATATAAAGAGGCTCTGTCTCAAACAAATTACTTTAATTGAATACCCAGGTTTCCACAAACATACACAAAAAGAAATGTATGAAATATGCAACCCAAACAGTGAAAATATCTAATTAAACAGAGACCATCCTTCAGAAGATGGTAACTACACATGGTGGTGCATGCCTTCCATCCTTGAGCCTGAAGTACAAAGTTTGCAAGTTCAAGGCCAACCTGGGCTATAGGTTAGCCTGGACTACAAAAAGAGGTTTTGTCTACTAATTAAATAAAGTTAAAGAGCTAATGTAACAATGGTCATTCCTTTGGGGACTGCCTTTTGCAGAGTCATATTCTCTCCCTTATCCAACATCCTAAATTCTAAAGAAAAGTCACACCTAAATGACTGAAACATTAACTCCTTCTTTGGATTTATCCAGTGGTGCTCAGGTAACTCCATGCCCCTCCCTTATTTCTTTAGTTCTGGGCAGGGACTGACACAAAGCATGTAAACTGCCACGAGTTTTAACCTGGAGAAAAACAGTGTTTGTCTAAGGAATTACAGGAACCAGTCCAGACAGTCAAGGCTGACTGTGATATCTGAGCAAAGAATAGTAAGCAGAAATCTGACCGAGATGAAGAGCCTAGCAGACACTCACAGCCTTCCCATTACTGCCCCTTCGGCCCCCTCCCTTCCCTATGAAGGCCTGTCCTGTGCCTAAAGTTTCTTTCCCCTTTCTCAGGGTTCTGGCCTTGAATAAAACCAATCCTTTTCCCAACAGCTCATCTCCTCAGTAGTGCCTTTGGCGTGGCACACAGATCCAACAACAACAGATGAAAACAACTAGAAATGCTGAATTTGAAAAGTTTTAACAGCCCAAATGGAGAACTTCCTAGACGAAGAACTAGGGTAAAGCCACCAGGGAAGCAGAGACCCATGCTGCACACAGATGGGCAGGTATTCTCTGACGGGTGAACGGCCATGATGCCGCACATGACAGGAACCCAGTCTGGGAGGCCTTTGCTTCCTTCTCCTAGCATCTCAGTAGCTCTTCTTCTTCTCGTGCTGTTTTCTTTTCTTAGAACCTGGAAGGCAATTCTCAATAAGGAATGGGCATCATCGCCTTGTTCTTGATCTTAGGGAGAAATGTTGAGGATCACTGAGGATCACAGCAGGAGCCACACATGTAGGGAGCACCTACCTCTAATTTCAGCATTAGAGGTTTAGGGATGCCAGAGGTAGGAGGATTAGCTTGGAGCTAGCCTGGGCTACACAGATAGATCTTGTTTTCAGATGTCGCCTGTGCCTCTGAGGCATTCCTGCTTCAGGGTGGGTGATGTTCTAGGA